AAAAAAAAAAGAGAGAGGTTAGAGTGGGAGAGAGCCAAAGCATAGGAGACTCTTAAAAAATGAGAAAAAACTGAGGGCTGATGGGGAGGTGGGAGGGAGGGGAGGCTGGGTGATGGGTATTGAAGAGGGCATCTTTTGGGATGAGCACTGGGTGTTGTATGGAAACCAATTTGACAATAAATTTCATATATTTAAAAAATAATAATAAAAATAAATAAAAAATAAATAAAAAATAAAAAATAAAATACCACATTCCTAAGAGTGAGTATGTTGACAACGAAACAGGAACTAAAGGAAGGAAGAACTCGCAGCTGTTAAAGCAGGAACCACCGTGACTGGCACTGTCACTGGGTCTCTGAGCAGGTTCCCTTAGACCAGAAACGCACAGACCACGTTTAAGGTTTTTTCCTGACATGGAGCTAAACACCATGTGCATGTTCAGATGAGGATTATGCCTTGCAGGCCGTCCTTTCTAGAAATTTCCCTCGGTGCCTCCATTGTGAGGCTTTGTCCCTTGTGAAGGACAATTTTCATTCTGGCTTGAGCTGTGGCACTACCCTCCATCAGTAGCAAGGAACATAACTCCCCGGTCACCCACTCCACGTTCTTCCCAGGGTTACCCCAGATGCCACTGCATTTACCACCTCCTTCTTCTGACCCGCTACTACCATTCTCTTGTTATTCTCTCTTGAACATTAACTAAGTCGTATCTTTTGGCCACTTGTGTAAAATTCCAATGGCATTTTATTAGATAATGTTTGCTGTCTTTGAAAGGGAAAGCTTGACATTTCATGCCATTAGCTGAGCTAAGTTTTGAGAACCACAGCAATATTCTAACTGTTGACCTAAGATAGCAACATCCTACTCAGGATGTTGCATTCTATATTTGCAACAATACTGACACATGAGAATGACCAGGCTAATTTTCTATTTTACCAGTGAAAGGACTGGGGGTCTATGTGTTTAAATGACACACTCCCAAGGTTCAGGACAAGTCCACGGCACAATTAGGGATCCTGACTTCCACCTTAAGGATTGTCCTTATGACCTCACTGCCTCTTAGGTAAAGGGCACACTCTGTCTTTCACATTTTGGGTGAGAATGTACATCTATAGACACAGATACAGCACTGCTTCAAAAGCATGAGAAACTCTGTAGAGCCATACTATAATCCAGAAATGTGTCACTCAACAGACAGTGCAGCTGATGAGTTACAATCAATACATCACGCAGAATGGAAAAAGAAATTTCCCTGTAAGATCCTACATAGAAGCAGGGAACAAATCCATTGTCACATTCGATGGTGTGACAGAATAATTTCTAAAATGAGTTTCATTAATCTAACTAGTTTCTTGTATCCCC